AGTAGTCATTTACTCATTTCTCTCTTCTTTTATATCTACTGTTCTATCTAATGGATTTATTATCGAATTAATTATTTATACTGAGTCGCCATTACTATTGTCAAAAAAATAAGATAAATGGCGACACATTGCATAAAAGACTGACCGGGACCAGTATGAAAAATTTTTAGTCCCGGGACCGGGACCGGGACCACTTTGCAGTTCCCTAGACTTAACACTGGATAAGATGTTTCATTGATGTTACGAATTTTTAGTGAAATTATGTCAATATATAGCCTCGAATAAGATGGGGAAAAAAAAGAATTTCAGCTTATAAAGTTGTTCCAATATTGAAATATTCAAACTATAAAACAGGTTTCCAGGCATGAACATGAACGATTACTAATCCCTAGTCGGACATCTTTTAAGCAATATCTTGATGAGATCTTGAAAAGATAATTTCTATATGAATATCTTGGTTCTATCGGATAAATGTTTATCGAATATCTTGTCAAGATTATGAAAAATATATCGTTTACGATTATTTTCTCACAAGATCTTTAGTAAAAAAGCGACATCATCAGTGTTTACACGCTGACTAGTCATTGACTGTTTTTTAATGGATACAGAGCCGTATATAAGCAATGTCATTGAACATACAAAATATACATTTTCAAAATAACTTTTTTAAAAAACAATTTCTCAAGTATTGACCATTTGATAACATTCTAATCTCGATCGATGATAAAGGGAAGACGAACTACCCTTAAGCAGTCTGATGGAGATCGAGCCATCTTAAGGTCAGACATATTCCAAGATCTAACTTGCTTCAGTTAGTCAGAATAGAAATAATTAAAATGAAGATAAATTGAAAAAATTTCCTAACATGCTTTTATAGAAAAAAAAATAATAAATACGCTATATGATAGGTTTGAACCACGCTTTGAGAATGTCTCATAGATTGTGTCGCAAATGGTGACAGATGCAACACGTTTTATCTTAATGTCTATCCAATATGTTATTCAAGATCTTGATAAAAAGCTAATCATATTATGTTGTACCTAAATTGTTAAGATCTGTTCATATTTGTGTACCTTGTATATTGGCTAAGGGCGTTTAATGAAATTTCCTTAAACACATTGTTGTTTTAAATCGATCAGAGTAATTGAATCAATTTTAATATGTATATATTTTTCGTTGTATATTCTTTTTTTTTGTTGCCTGATGATGATAAAAGTTGTATCGAAAGGTCGTAAATAAAATAAAAAATTTTATCTATATTTTTTATTTGATATATCATTTTTGTAAAATGTCTCCTTTAAGTAAATAAGTAATTAAACAAAATTCATTATTATATTTTGAAACATAATATCATTTCTAGACAATTTTACCAAAATGAAAAAACTAACTATAAAGGTAAAGTTTTGGATAAGTTGAAAAATAAAATAAAATTTTAATTATCTGTAAAAAATGTTGATTCGTTGATGTGATTGAAAAAAAACTAAAAATTCATTTGTCTGTATAAGAAAAAAGAGAAAAGTTTTTAATTGATAATTTAGTGTAGAATAAATAATTAATATTTCAATTTAACTTTGAGGTTCTTATAGTTAGTTACATAAATCAATTGATTATGAAATATTATATTTATTAATGTTACATTATAAATAAATCTTTTCGTTTTTTTTTTCTTTTTGAAAATAATTAACAAATAGTAATGAAATAAAAAAATATTTATCAAATAATTGTTTTTTTATGTTTTGAGAAGATGAATTTCAACCAAGAATAATAGTTTATATATAATTAAAATCTTTGACAAAAAAAATGAATAATAAATATCGATATTTATATTTGTTTTTCTACCTCTAATCAATAAGTTTCTATAACTTAAGAATGATAAATTTTTATTTAATAAATTTCTTTTTTTTGTTCAGATCAAATTTTAATGTTGTCGAATGAATTTGTTCGAGTGATTGAAAATAATTCCATCAAAATGATTTAACTTATCTATATTATGCCATTTATTATTTTAATATAAATCGTAATCATATTTTTAATAATTTTATAGTTTTTGTATGTGCATAGCTAATCTGATAAAAACAAAAACAAAAAAACAAAAGTACATTCATGACAAATTATCATTTATTTATGTTGTTGATTGAATAGCTTTATGGTCTCTATTAAATTTTGACTAAATCATTCAAATAAAATAATATAACAGATGGATTATTTATTATTGAGAATATTGAGAATAAAATATATTCACTTATTATAACGTTGACAAACTAGAGAAATTTATCAAAATCCAATGCATGAATTAGTTGTAAATTCTAGTGTAATAATTTACGATAAACTATCACAAAATATATATCGATATGGTATTCCTTCTACATGTATATTTGGTTTAACAGGTCATATTATTAATCTTTTTTTATTCACTCGTCCAACACTAATTTATAGTTCATGTTGTAATTATTTTCTTGCTTCATCATGTGTTGCTTTATTTCAAATATTGTTCAGTCAACCAATTCATTTTCTTCAGCTTGGTCTTGGTATTGATTTAACAAACATTTGGTGGTGTCGTATAAGATTTTATGTTGCTCATTCGGCTTATATGACTTCAAGTTTTCTAATTACTCTTGCATCTGCTGATCGTTTCGCAAGTTCATGTCGTCAAGTTAAACATCGTCGATGGGCTAATTTTACTATTGCTAGAAAATTAATACCAATTGTTATTATTATTGCTTGTGCAGTTAATATTCATATTTTAGGTATGTTTACAATTAATCATGAACATAGAAATGAATGTTGGGCTCCACATGGTAATATTTATCGTTTTATTTTTGATATTATATTGGTCTCTCATATTATAATATATCCTATTTTAATTGGAACATTTGGTTTACTTACTGTTTATAATATTCGACGATCTCATATTCAACAACAATTATTATCTTTTAACTGTCGTGTGCGTGATTTACAACGTATGACACTTGTTCAAACTGTATGTATCATTGTTTTCACTTTGCCTTATGCTATATTAAAACTCCATCGAACAATAATGACATCGAATAATAATGATGTATCTGATATTTATTGGGCTGTAGAACGATTAATAACATGTTTTGTTGATTTTGGTTGTTACATAAATGATGGTGCTGGATTTTATATTTATTCCCTTTCATCAATTACATTTCGACGAACATTACTTCAATTTATAAATGAACATCGATCAATATTGTTTCGTTGTTATCAATATAAAAAACGAATTATTTATTTTTCAAATCCTTCTATTACACTAATAACCTAATAATAAGATTTTTATCAAAGTTATTAAATAATAAACATAAGAAAATTTTTGAATTCAATTTCTATTAAAATAATATTTGATCAATTAAAGAAGAAGAAAAGAATAAAAAAAAAAGATATTTTAGTTTTTTCTAAAAATAATTTAAGTAATTTATAAAATATTAATGAACGATCTTTTTATTGTTTCATTTATGTTTTAAATTCAACCAACAAATCAACAGAAATAATAATACTCTGAAATATTTTCAAGAGAAATTCTATAATCTTTCGATTATTATTGAGTCAATCCAAATAAAATTTTTAAAAATTAATTTTTAGAGAAAAATTCTATTTTTTACCGGAATTATTATATCAGGGCATGTCAATAAAGTAAGTAAAAAGTTTTAAATAAAAAGATAATGAAAAAAAAATAAAAGATTGATATGAAACAAGACGTAGAGCGATGCAAGAGAGAAAAAGTGACATTTTTTATTAAAAGTATTAAAACAAAATATTTTGATGACGTGAGTCAATAAGTTTGATTAATTAAAGTGAATAATAATATGAATTATGAATATAATATAATAAGAACTACTTGTTTATTCTCATATTTTCTTTCAGATAGATTTATAATCTGTTGTCTAAACTTTGTTATCTTACAAAACTCTGACTGATGATTTTGTGACATTATTTATGAAAAATGTAACAATGTTTCAATATCAACTCTCTCCTCTTTTTTTTGTTTGTTTATTTTACGTTTAT